TAATTATATATTAATCAGGCACGTTATATTGTCAGATTCAGCTTTCTGTTTTCTCAACAGAAACACAAAGCTGGTTTTAATAAAGAATTTGATATATTTTTTAATTCTTTATTGTTTTCTTAAAAGTGTATACTGGTCTATCAGTGCAAATAGCTTTAAGTGTTTTGTCATAGTGTTAATTGTTTAATATATAGTATCGTTTGTTTTGTATATAGAATGTTTACCTTATATTTTCTTTATATTATTTCTTTTTCTCGATTGATTTGATTTTGACCAGATTTAATCTTATAATTTTGTTCTGTTTTGTTGTTCTCAAGGGACTGTGTTCCAGAATAAAGTTATTTTCTATGTATCTATCTACATTGGTTTAGACGTTACTGTCTATAGCAACACAAGTATTTCGGCTTCCATCTTGGAAGGAAAGGGTGGATAGTATATAGGATAGTATATGTCGTTAATGCTCGGGTGACCTCTGAATTTAAATCTCGGAGAAAATGCAGGGACGGCTGACGGACAAAAAAAAATTTCATTCGATTTTCGAATTCCTGCTTATCCTCAAACGTAAAATCTCAAATTTGAGGGAGGGTTGTGTTTTTGAACTTTTTGGTTGATTGGAATAGTTAATTATTGAAAATAATAAAGCAATATAGGCTATCTGTATGCTTGATTTTTCCGAAATTCTTCACCTTTTCAATCTGTTTAATAGATGTTTACATGTTATATACCATGCTGGAAAGTAAGGAGAATAGTCCATGGGAGCCTTGAAACATTACTTACCTGTCTGGTTTGCGCCTGAGGCGGCTAGACAGGGTAGGAGAATTGGAATCCTGAGGCGGTAAAATATTCATGAGGAGATGGAGGAGTTCATCTTTGCAGGAGCCTTGACAAAAGGGGAGCTATAATTAATTCATTGGTGCAGAAATAGCTGCTGAGGTAGTTTGGCTAGGAGCTCTAGGAAGACGCCCTTTTCAACTGGCGCGACATTGCAACAGCTGTTAATAGATGGTATTCTGTAGTTATTTTCAATGTCCTTTGTGAATAACAGATGCTTTAATAATAGAGAACCAAAAAATTCTTTTTTTTTTTTTGGTTTGAATTTAGGATTATCCTCTTATTCCCAAAAATTGACATTAGTTCAAACTATATCACATTATTATGCGTAAGTTGATTAATTTAACTATAAGTTTCGTTTTTTTTTTTTTTTATCTCTTTTTTTCTTCCGCTGCCTTACAGCATGCAGGGAGGTGTTTCCAGACGACGTTTCTGTCATTGGCAAGGTTCTTCTTCCAAGGTTTTCTCTCTGCGTCTCCATAAAAAGGAGTATATTCGTTCTAACAGTATATTTTATAAATTTTATATGAAAGCGATGTAATACTTACACATGTCTCGCTTTGAGGATAATTATATTTTTCATAAGGGTAATAAGTATAATGTATATATGTTTGTAAGGGTAATTATATGCTATGTATGTATGCACTCCTACGACTATAATCTTCTCCAATTCAAGGCCTCTGTCCATCCTCTTATCACAGGATCCCGACTTTCTAACCTTTATACTCCTTTTCACAGATCTGCCTCTTCCCGAAAGTCTTTCATTGCCCTCTCCTCTACTTTCTGGAATATTTTTTTCATACCATGTCGGTTGTGTTCTACAAGAATTATAAGCTCTTAGCGTTACTTCATTTATCTTTTTTTTATAAATGTTTTAATGTTTACTAATATAGAATATATATTAATCTTTGTTTCTTTATCTTTTAATTTTTTTTTTACTTGATGCTCATCTATTTGAAGAATTTTTTTTTTTTTATTGTCTATCTTATATTGTTTGTTTTATTTCTTTATAATTTTCCTTCTTTTTAGCTAATCAGTGATTGTTTTGTTTCATTTCTTTTTTGTATTGTATATAGTTCTAAGTATTTTGTAAATAGTTTCATTAGTTTCGTTTTGTATATATTGTTAGTTTACTTAAGTTTTTTTAATGTTATAGTTCTTTTGGCTAGAAGTGATTTTTTTTTTTTCTGTAACATCCTGTTTTTCTTAAGACAGTTGGTCTCACAATAGCTATTTTTCTCTTTCTTTATTAGGTGAGATATCAATGTTTTTTGCAAACACATAATATTTAAATCAATTTGTCAGATATGGTTTCAAATATCTTATCATTATATACCTTTATAAATAAATATATATATATATACAGGGTGTTTCAGGGTTAAGTGACCATACTGCAAAAATGAACTAAGGAACGCGAAACAAGAAAAACATTTCTTCTGAAAATATCCCTCCAAATGCTTTGTTTAGATCTTCACACCTAAAGATTTTCGTAGTTATGAATTATTTACGTTATATGAAACAAATAAAACATATTTATTTGGTCTTACTACTTTATTAATTAAATTTAAACATTAACATTCCTACTAAATGTTGTTCAAAGTGATTTTCTTGAGCATTAAGACAGGCTCGGCATATTTCATCAACAGCAGCAATGGCAGAACTGCACTGGATATGTGTTATTGTTTCACAAGATTCAATTATCCTTCTTCGTAAGAAATTAACCGAACTTGCTCAATCATATCTCATATCCCATATCCCAATCAATGGATTGGCCGTGTAGAACCAGTGGTTTGGCCTGCACGCTCTTCAGAACTGACACCATTGGGTTTCTTTGTTTGGGGTGGTACATTAAATAAAAAGTCTATGCAAGTCCGGTCCATGACCTTAATTCTTTACGAAGAAGGATAAATGAATCATGTGAAGCAATAACACATATTCAGTACCGTTCTGCCACTGCTGATGTTGAAGAAAAATGCCGAGCCTCACTTGCTCAAGGAAATGACTTTGAACAACATTTAATATGAATGTTAATGTTTACATCTAATTATTAAAGTAATTAGAACAAATAAATAGATTTTATTTGTTTCATGTAACCTAAATAATTCATAAGAACGAAAGTTTTTAGGTGTGAATATCTCCTAAACTAAGCGTTCGCGAACATACCATCAGAGGATTTTTTTTTTGGTTTTGGTCCTTAGTTCATTTTTGCAGTTTGGTCACAATCCTGAAAAACCCTGTATGTTCGGTAGGATTCGGTAGACTTCTAGTGTTCCTTGTCTCTTTGGCAGCGATGTATCATTTAGTTATCAGCCCAATAAATAGTTTTGACATTACATATAATTTTTTAAATACATCTTTTAGTCTTCATAGATACTTCTGAACAACATATAATTGTTGTAGTCTCGAAATTTATTTTATTTTAATTTATATTATTTTATGAAATTGAACTATCAAAAATAAATTGTATTAATTATTACAAGGCATGATGTAATCTCGGTATAGTTAATGATAATTATTCAAAAGGGATTTCATGTGAAGGGATAATGTATGTGTTGCTCTGATCAAAGGCTCGCCCAGAGTTCTGAACTTAGTTCCCAGCCTGATTTCTCTGATCCCTGTTTCAGTAATTATTTGCTTGTGCCTTTTATCATTTGATTACATAATAGTTACTATGTATAATAGGCTAAGTCTAGCATTGAAGGTATAATACTGTTTTATTTGGTACAAATCACTCATCACGGCATGATGAACTTGATGTATGAACTCATCCCAATAAGGGAATGCGTATAGTTAATTATTGTACAATTATGATTAATACTTGACTTATATACTTAAGACACTACATCCAGAGATTGTCAATCGAGTCCAAGTTTAATTATTCCATAAAACCTTAAAAGCCTTTCAATAATATAGTTATCTCTCTTTTCTTTTATAGAAAGATGAAGTGCTTTTATTATTTCTATCGTTGTAATAACTGGAATCTCTTCCTCTTGCAAGTTATCCGATCCATCATATATCTCTGTTAGAGTTGACCAAATGCGAGACCGAGTCTTGGTCTTGCAAACTCAGTCTTGGTCATGGTCGTAATCTTGCACAAGAGTCTCCCAACAGTCTTGCAGTTACTTATTAGCTTCTTGCTGTAGAGATATTACTATAATTTTTTAGATAGGAGAAACCTAACAAAGCCCGAATGAAAAATTAGAGAAGTTAAATGCAGAAGTATATTGGTTATACCGATTATCAATATATAGTAACTATGATTGTCAAGTATTAGTAACTATTTTGCCTTAAATTTTTATTTAAATAATCGATTTTTTTTATTCACTCTTGGTGTTGGTCTTGCAACAGTCAGGCGGCCTTGGTCTTGGTCAAAGTTCAAGAGCAATACCGATTTTGGGCAACACTAATCTTTGTGCCCCTTCAATTCAAATCCTCTGTTTATTCCCGCAATACCCGTTTTCGCTGTGCATATTTATATACTTCAGTCCACCCTATTTTTTCTTTCTTGTCCTTCCACGCGTTCTAGGCTATACAGAGTATTTATGCTCGGCCATGCTGCCCTCTACGGTCCACCAAATTGCAGCATTTGATATATGTTTCATTATTCCATCCTCATTCTTATAGAATTCTGTTCCTCCCAATTTCCGTCGCCTTAATACCCTCTCCACATTTAAATCCTGCCTACTAAACTACTTTCTATCCACTCAGTTCCCTAAAAATTATAAATAGGCTTGATTGCACATATGTATAAAACTGTTTTTTGTTATTATTTCATATTGAATACTTAATAGTTGTCCGTTAAGGATGTATTATTAAGGAAGGAGATGGACGGGGTGGCGGTAATAAATAGACTAAATAGTGGAGACAAAACTATTTTATTAAAATCCATAAAATATAATAGTTTGCCACTATTTAATCTATTTATGACCGCCACCCCGGACCATCTCATTCCTTTATTATTATTTCATGTTATTATCACTTAAATTGGGATTCATCACTTCTCCATGAATAGCTTAATCCTTAAAATCAATAGCTTCTGATAGCTGAAGAAGTTATTGGTAGTATCGTGTTATATATAATGTACATTATTATTAATATTCTATTGAATAAATATAAATATAAATAAAGCTAAAATTTTCCACTTTAAAGAAATGTTGTTCTGTACTCACCCGTGGAGTGCCAGTATCGTACATCCCTCTGCTCCCATGGATCCCTCCACCTGGAAGGACCTCCCATCCAGTTAGTGACGAGTCCTCCAGGTTGGTTCTCGATCGGCCTGATGGTCCCGCTCCATACTCTCTTGTCCCCATACCTGTCACCAGAGCCTTCTCCTGGACCTGTAGTACCAAGAAAGCAAGAAGTACGGATTAAAGATTTCATAATATATTTTTCATCCTTGTATGTCCCATTAAAAATTCATTGAGTAATAAAATAAATAATAAAAGCTATTTCAGGAACAAGAAAAACCGCGTTCACCTATTTGTTTATTATGATTACTGTGAATTATAAACACTTTGAAAATATTCATACCCCCTCGAAGTGTTATCATATGAACAAAATTTTGAAGTACCTCGTCACTGTTTTTTATTTGTATTGAGGTTTAAGAATCCAAAAGAATTCGACAGAAGAATGATCTGGAGTTCACACGTCAACAAAGAAACGAACAATATTAAACATTTTACTATCTTTTTTCCATATCAAAATTGCAAATCTAAACAAAAACTTAATACATACACATACCTACTTAAACCCATTTGGACATTCCTCTCATAGATATTAGGTTCAGTAAAAAATACTCACAAAAACTAGAATCTTTCCAGTCCAAAAATTTACGACTAATAACAGCAGCTCCCTGGTACGTAAACAACAAAACTTTACATAACAACTAACTATAGTTGTACATAGTTAGTTGTAGATACATACACAATCTTTATTCACGATTTTATGTTAAACTACAAGGATACAACAACAGACTCGTTAGGGACATAGGCACCGTTGACATGTCCATTAGGAGTATACTGAAGAGGAGCTGGATAAGAGATCTCCTTCCCAGATTTATGGAATAAAACAAAGACCAGGAACAGTATCTGCTGGATGCCTGCTATGCCATTACGATCTATATTTACGATATCAAATCTAATGATTGTCACTCTCATGACAGGTGGAGATGTAGATATAGATACATATATCGTCTATTGAATATCCAAAGTTTAAATCCGTGCATATATTATTACCGTAAGGCTCGAAATTGGTTTTTTACCAAATATAAGCTCCTGTCATGCTCAAATACCATGAATTGGGAACCGTTGGATTCAGAATTTCACGGTGGGTTAGCGAATCGTATTCTCCACTTTTGTTTTTCTTTCTAAAATAAATGAAGTCGAGACAAACATTTTGCTAGGTTCAATACCTGAATAGTGGTAGGTCTGTATATCGATACGGGACAAATTGGACCTAGAAGATTTTGATGCGTACAGCAAGACCCGGATAGTTCCTCCGGAATTATCGGATCCTGCTTTTTTAAAAACGTACTATTTTCGAGATAACGCAAGGTATTGGGTTCGCATCCACACAACCTTACATTAATTGTTGTACTGTCATTGAATACATATCTCATTTCGCTGACTTGAGGTCTCTATGATCGAGAGAGGAGGAGTTCATATTATTTATCGATGGTGTTTTTGATCGGCAAGCCATATCATCGTCAATTTTTCACCAAATCTCAAGATTGAGCCACCAATTTCGAAGGCTTCCTTCTCCTTCAGGCGGACAAAATAGTCCAATCACCCCGAAAATTCAGGCAAACAAGTTATAAAAGAAAACAAACTTTATTTACGAATAACTAAAAAATTATACACTTTTCCCTGATTATAGATAACTGGGGTTATGCCCATGATTATAGAAAAGATTACTTAATTCCCTACAAAAGGAAAAAAAAAAATCATTGAAATCGGACAATTTTTAGCAAAGATATAGCTTACTGAAATATGTAACTGTAATGTTGGTTCCAAACAAAAATGAAGATTTAACATAATTTTTTATTTCTTTATCTTTTGATACGTTGCATTATTTTCTTTTATTATTAATCTGACATTTGATAACAATATGCTGTGGGAATTTTTCGCACGGGCCTACTAGTTATATTATAGTTTCTTAAACCTTTATTAGATCCCTTGTCAGTTGTTTCCCTTCCATATATTTTTCTAGTCATGTACTTATGAAAAAAGAAGGTTGAATGTTGTAGTGTGGACAATCAAACTTTTCAGGTCGGGCAGGGAGACGATGGTCGATTTTCTGGCTGTTGTTTGAAGGCTATATTTCGTAGGTGCTTTGAACAACGTTGACAAACTGCTTCGCCAGCTTGGCTTCGGTCCAACTTAAGAAATCCCCGCCTCGAATAGCAGAAATCTCCCCTCGACTATCGGCATTGCCAAAAATTTATCTACCACGTTTGAATTTTCTAAATATTAATTATACTTAATTTTTATAACTTCAACGCTAACCATCAATACAAAATGTTTGGATTAGGGGCAAAGTCCTCACAAAAAGTTGTTATATTTTTAAAAAGTCCTTATGGTTTCAATCCGTTACTGGAAATAGCAAAGGGCTAATGGAATGTTAAATCATCGATTACATTCGTTACTGAAAATCGCAGTTCCTCTCGGAATTAATCTGTTACTGGAAATCACTTTTCCTTATTTTATCTGGCGCAGTTGCTTCATATAACTGTTGATGTTTTCTTTGTTACAACTTTTGTATTTTTCGTAGAACCAGAACTTCATCTTCATCGTTATCTAATGCTAGTAATCGTATTTATACTGTTTTGTTTCATTTTTATATCAGTGAAAATTTTGTTCTGTTTTATCGCTTTGCTTCATCGTATTTTGTGCATTGCAGAGAAATAATGTTATAATAATTACAAAATAATTGCTTACAGAATCCATCAACAACCAAAAATTTAAGTAGGTTTTGTCTTTTTGTATGTAATACTTATACTATTTTTTCATCTATGATTAATAACAAATGGCATATTACCAATCTTAAATAAATAAATTGTTTTAGGTTTGGAAAGGAAAAAAAAACTTTTAAAATAATTAATAGTCATAATATTTTTTTTTTTCTTCTCGATTAGATATGTTTTGTTTTAAACACAAGAATAATATAATGTTTTTACGAGATATAGATTTATTTTATTATGTCAGAATTTCATACTTTAAAAATAAAATTTATTTATATACTGTCGCTTTTGTTATCTTTTTTCCAAATCGATCACTTGATAACATATATCAGGTCTTTTTAACAGAAAAAAGATCCATCAGCCACTTTATAATTCAATAATTATCAATAATAATTTATAACTATAATTTGCTACTATAATTAAAACTTATTACTATATTTTAGTGCATTATAAAAATATATCTGTTTAAATACATTTTTTTTAAAACTTGTTTTTCTGTTTAAACCTGGTATTTAATACAAATATAAAAATTTAAGTGTTTTTATTTTATTTTTTTTCAGGTAAGTGCTGCATGTTTGCTTGGATTTATTAAATATTGTAAGTTAAATATTTAACATTAATGTATGCTGTATATAATGTATTTATGAGAATTTTCATTAAAGGTTAGGTAATACGAATTTTTTTTAAAATAATGCTTTTATGGATGAACCAATAATATGTTGATATTTCATCTAAAAAGGGAGCGGGGTAGCTCAGTCAGTGAGCACTGACTTCCAGAGATCAAGGTCTCAGGTTCGAGTCCGGTTGATGACTAGTAATTTTTAATCAGACGTGGATCGACTCTGGTGCCGAGAGACGCTCCTGGGACAAACCCAGCCTCTATAAATTTGTTACTCTTAATTAAATAATTAATCAAAAGAGAAAACCTGGCGGTTGAGCGTGACATCAGCCCAATCACCTCCCTGCACAATCGTTGGCGTTGTACTTCCTCACATTGTACAAAACCCAAGACACTTCATTGGTTGTTAGTTCTACAGATTTTTTCTCATTTTAAAAGCATAATAAAAATTGTTTTTGTTAGAAATATAGCAAATAATAAACTTTTCGTAGGTTCAGAGTTGGCCATTAGTCGTTTTAAAAATGTATTTGAATAAATAAATGACTAAATTTTTATTCGGAATTATCAATAATGCATAAAAGCGTAATCAAAGCTACTAGAATATTATTCAATTGAAAAAGAACTAAAAAATCCTAATATATTTTTCATCATTGATATAAAATTAACATATCAATCGGATAAAAATGTATTCGAATTAATATTTAATGAAGCAATAACACTTTCATAAGATCTGTATTAGTGTTAAGTATTCATTTTTATATTAACATATCTTAAAGAAATACGAAAGGCGAACTGATAAAAACTTTTAAACTTTTATTCAACAACTTTGTTTATGTTCCATTAAATAATAGTTCGTCGAGATTGACTAATTCATGTTTATTTTATAACAACTTTCATATAATGACTGATCATTTTTAAAAACTTTTCGTTTATTTATGAAAGTTTTGTACTGTATTTTAGTAGCTTACGATGAATATTGCTCAAATATTAACCATGAACAACAAATATTAATCATGAAAACAATTAATTTTTAGTGACAAAATATAATCATGCCTAATGATGATTGATTCGTGGTTCATATAAAAAAAATGAAAGAAATATTTTTTTTAGTAACTACAAACGAGTAAAAGTTTTAGAAAAATAAATAATCATGACTAATGTCTAATTTTTAGTCATTAGTCGCGATTAATATAAACAAATAATTTGAAAGTAATTATTATTTTTAGAAACTGCAAACGATTAAAATTTTTAGTCAGAAAAATAATCATTACTCAGATTAATTTTTTACTCATTAGTCATGGTCAAATTAAAACGAAAAAAAAATTGGCTTAACTCTGGAAAGTGAATTGCCAAAATTTTCAATTACTATAATGGATCATGATAGTGTAATACATTACAGTATAAAATATTATTATCATTCTCTTTAATTGATGTACCTACATACAATCTTTATCTGGCAACTGTTCCTGTATTTGGATTACCATCTTTCTCTTCTTCTTTTTAATTTTGTTTTCTCTTTTACGGTACGATTATAAATATACCAACTTGAACATTTTTTAAATGACAAATACAACTTTACATTTCTAGTAAAAACTTAGTGCTTATTTGTTAAAAGAATTTAAATTTTTTTTTATTATCCGTTATAAGTGAATACGTTTACAATTTTACCACTTTCGATGGATTTTTTACCTAGATTCAATTTTTGTTTTTCATATTGTTAAAAGTTTTTCATAGTTGTATTTGTTTTGTATATACTCTTAGTTAGTTTACTTGATGCTACATTTTTTTTGTTACTTCCCTACCTATACTAGGTAAGGAAAGTATTGCTGTCTGTCTGTAAACCGTTTAGCCTGCTTTTTGAAAGGTAATGAAATTCCCTACAAAACTATATAAAAATCGTTCATTTCTGGCAACTATTAACGAAGTTACAGCTATTCTATTTCCAATGTAAGATTACGGGTTCATATCCTGGTGTCAGAAAGGGGTGAATGAGAGAAAAAACATAGATAACCAAGTAAGAAAATCTGTTGCCCGTATCACATAAGCTTCACTATTTCCTCTACTTTTAACAGAAATTATTGTTGGACAATACTAAGCTATGGCAAAAAGTTTTTGATCAGCAATATTAGAGAGTATTGAAATTTTTACACTGATCTTTCTTAAGCCGGTTTACATTGCTTTAGTTTATCAAATAAATCGTACTCAAATCTTTTCTTTGATCAATTTTTAGGAAAATAAATCTAGTTCAATCTTTTTTTTGTTTCTTTATGAACATATATAAAGATATAAAAACGTTTCTGAAATAGGTAGGAAAGTCGTGTGAGTGGACACACCAGATGTTTTTACTTAATATAATAGACCTTTAGGCAGAAGTTTTTTTTTTTTTTACAATTTTGTTATTCTTAAGGGACTTTGTCTCCGAATAAAGTTATTCTATTCTAACCGAAAGAGAGTGTATTGATAATGATTTATATGGTATTTATCAATCTGCCAATTGGATCGTAATGCTATACGGTTTCTGTGTTATAGTAATCTATGTGATGTACTCACCTTGAGGCCAGTGCTTGCCTTGCTCGCGCTGCTGCCACTCAGGACTCAGGTTATCGTAGCCGTTTCCCCTGTACTCCCCATCCTGGGAGCACCTGGGACACGATATCGGCCTCCTCGAGTCCCATCCGAACGAGGACACTCCGTTCCTGGTCTCCCAGCCGCCGGGGCCCCAACCGTCTCGGCCCTTCCTCTGATCTGTCTTCTCTTCACTTCCTTCGCCGCTCCTTAACACCTGCAGAAAGAAGTGATCGTTAGAAGAAGTCTTATGCTATGGTATAATGGTTGTTCAGAAAAGAACTGTCGTACGAACAAAGTAGTGTTATATGGATACAAATCGAGAGTAGTTGCAAAGGGAAGATGAGAGGATCTTCCCTCAAGAGTACAAAACCCAAAGTGGAGAAGAGAGGATGAAAACATCGATAATTAGTCGTGTCTTCTGTGGATAGCGAATATCAGTAGCGATAAGCGGTATCAGTATTCAAAAGATTACTATATTCCCCACAAAAGGAAAGAAATCATCGAAATCGGTTATTATTAGTAAAGATACAGCTTAATGAAATTTGTAAACACGTTGGTTTCAAACATGAATGATGTTTAAAATTTATTTTTGAATATTTAATAGTTGACCGTTGCATTATAAAATGTGTCTAAAGAAATGCAGTTATGATTAACAGGATTCTGTTCCATGTTAATGTGGATGGATTCGGAAATGAGTCTTTTTTCATGGTTAGGGACCTAGGCAAGAATAGAGGTTTTTCAAAATCAACTGAATGGTTGAGGGTTCTAATAGTTTGGAGGTGTAAGGGTTCCGGGAAGTTACGGATGTTTTATGTTGAGAAATGCGGTTTTTGAGATGGTTTTTGGTTCCGCCAATACAGGAGCTATTACAATTAGGAGTGGAGCAAGTACGTTAGATCGGTGTTGTAAAAGTATGGGATCCTTCAAGTTGGTGAAAAGGAAAGAAAGCTTGTTATGGGACTTAAGGCCAAGACGTAAGTTGGTCATAGTCGATTTTATTAATTTTTGTATATTATCTGAGAGAATAGGAATATAGGAGAGAGATTTGTATATGAAAGGAGTGGTAGGTGGTTGTGGGGAGTTGAGAGAAGGGGAGGTTGTACTCTTTTTGGTTGTATAGCAGTTTGAAAGTTTAAGTATGGTGTTGAGAGGGAAATTATCGGAAAGGAGAAATCAGTTATCATTTACTAATGAAATAAAAATTCATTGTTATCTCCTTGGTAAATGATAACTGATTTCTCCTTTTGTATGATACGTTCTATTATTTTGTTTTGTTATTATTTTGTCATTTGATATATATATTGTGCACTAATATATTCTGTAAAATATTCGCCCGAGCCAATTAATATATATAGATTTGAGAAAACATCCTCCGCACTATACCGGGAGCGCTCTGGGATCAGATCATATGGAGGAAAAAGACCAATAAAGAACTGCTTACAGAGTTTCAATCAATATGATATGAAGTCAAGGAGGTTAAGATGGACGGGACATTTAGCTCGTAACAATCTATCTGGAAGCCTCTAATAAAAGGTAAAAGACCAGGTGGAAGGCAAAAAAGCAGATGGATAGACAGAATAAACTAAGATACAATAGAGCTGCGTGCAGATAAACGGAAAGAGCCAAGACAGGCAGAGATGGAGCAGACTCGTTAGGATGGCAAAAAATCTACATGGTAATGCCAACTGAAAAAAAAATTAATAATATATATATATATATATATATATATATATATATATATATATATATATTGTTTGGTTGGCGCTACAGACCTAGAAGATCTTTGTCTCCTAGTCCACACCCTGATTCCCGATTTAAAGTACGGGGTAGGATCATCTATTCTACGTCCGATCAGTGGAAGTTGCCTCCAGTAGCCTGACGGGCCTCACGGAGGAGGAATCTTGGTCAGCGTGGCTTTCCTTGGTGGACGGTCACCCATCCAAGTGCTAGGCCAAGATCGGCGTTGCTTAACTTTGATTACTTATTACAAGCACGTTAGCCCGCAAGGCTACCCCAGCCCCATATATATATATATATATATATATATATATATGTATGTATGTAATTATCCCAAGACAGTACTGAGAAAAGTTTTTTTTAGATTTTCTTATCCTCACTTTTATTACTAAAGCCATTTTCCTTCAATATTGATGGCTATTATACCATTGTGTACACTATCTGAAAACAATCTCTAATTTCGCTTCATAATTTCTAGCAATTAAAACGTCCGAAAAAAAAATCCTCATCCTCCTAATTTGTATATTCTTAACGATCTTTGTTTCGTTCTTCGGAATCAAGAAGAAATGACCCGATCCGTGGGAAGGCGGCGGAACCGAACCCAGGACCCGTGACGGGTACAAGGACCGCATAATAACACCATTATATTCCTCAGATCATTCTTTACTACAAAAACAAATGGAAAGAAACAATTTTAATATGTTATCATACCCCGGCTGTATTTATCAACCATTGTCTTTCGCAGGAAATTCCGCTCAATCTGAATAATTGCAGTAATTGTTTCCAAACTTCATCGTCGATAAGGAACTCAAGCTCGATCGTTCCCATTACCAGATTTCGCAGCCTTGTTTAATTCATACTAATTTGGATTGGAGGAATGTTTCCATTCATTCGTGCCGACACGAAGGGTGCGTAAACAGCTTGTTTTGATTTTACTCTATCTAAGGTAGGCAGAGTATGCTAATTAGGACAATTTTAGAACGATATTCTTGAGCTTTGGGGCTCCACCAAACCATCGAATTCCTATCGTATCCAATCCTTACAATCCAAAATCCTCCATAAAATCCTTAATGCTCCATAATTTGTCACAAATAAAACCATTCATAAAGACCTTAATGTACCATATGTCGCTGATTTAGCTCGAGCCAGATATCTATCCTTACATGATAAACTTCAGTCCCATCCAAATCCGCTTGTTTCCACTCTTGCTTCTTCCTCGATCCCTGATAATCTTCCTAGGCGTCTGAAAAGGAGATGGCCTCGTGATCTTCTTACTTAAAATTATTTAGAGAGTGCTACCACTGGGTAGTATCTCTTCAAGCCTGTACATGCCATTATTTATAATTTGCGCATATTTACTAGTTGTATTTGTATAAAGTTGTAAATTTCATTAAATAAACAAAAAAAAAAAAAAAAGCACGATATTTTAAAAAATAAGAATGATTTATTAGAATTAATGCTAATATTTTACCACTGACATATCCTTAGTTCCAATGCTAGGAAGTGTAGGAAATGATAATAATAAAAGAAAGACTAGGAAACAAAATCACTTAAAAATAATTCATTATAATAGATCCACTCCTGGCCCTATTGAAACAAGTGGTTAAATAAGTCCCTCTCCCTCACCTAAAAAGACAAGGTTTCAAGAAATATCTCCTAAGGTTATAAACAAAAAAAAAATTCTCTAAAACATTTAAATACAAAGGAATAGGTGACAAAACTATTTTATTTAATATTATATTCTCCTAAAGCCTTGCTTTTCCTCCACGTGTGGGGGGATAGGTATGGTTCGGAGTTCCTATGGCCGACTGTAAATAGTGTAATAGGTATGCCTGCGTCTAAGATGTTTATTTTCATTTTTTTTTTTCTCACTATGATATTTTATTTTGTTCTTTTGTAGCTTTATATTATTTGAAGTTAGCTTATTTTTTTTATTTATTTATATTTTTAATTTGTAAATATGGTGTGAATGTGCTCTCAGAACTCTATTGTAAATGTCCTTTATTGAGACAGATTGTAATATTTATCAATAAACCATTATAATAAATATTATACAAAACTATTGTCGCTATTCAGCCTATTTATGACCGCCATCCTTCCTTTATAATGCAACGGTCAACTATTAAATATTCAATTTAAATACAAAACAAGAAATTAAAAAAAAATAAATTAAATTAATTTGTTCAGAGATGCAGAAGGCGGCAAAAGACTACCATTACTCTACTATTCTATATTATGTAATACAAACAGAAAAAAATTGTTAAAAATAATACATTTTACATATTTATTATATTTTTTTCCAAAGCAGCATAGGTACCCATCCCTCCCATGGCCAATGGCGCATAAACCTCTCCCCTCCACCTAAGATATTTTATTTCTCTCCTCTTCTTAAAATCAGTGCAAGGTAAAGTAGAATTTTAAAAATCATAGGTCATATAAAATTTCACTTCCAGTGGTTTGTTCTATGCTTTCCTCTTTTCCCCCTTACTTGAAACTTTTCATTTTGAAAAAATCATAATCCAGTCGGAATTTCCCTCCTCAAAAATTCAAAACCCCGTAAAAATTTCTAAAAACTTACGCCATAAAACCCCATTCTGGGCACTCCTGCAAAACATTACTTATGCTGCATCAGCCAGATTTTAATTTCTTCCAATCGTGCAAGAAAGGAAATAAAGTTGATGCATCGAAAAGTGAAATTCTGGATGAATAGATAACTAAAGAGCCCGTGTATTACATTTTGTAAACTGTTTTTCATTATAATATCCAACAAGATATTTTAGAAACGGATTAAAACCCTATCGCCAATATCTATGGAATTTTTTCCCAATCAATTTTTCGAAAATATTTGGAAGAATTCTATTGAAAACAACGAAGGATGAATTTACGTGATATTTTGTCTTGGTGTACCCACTTTTTTTACGTACTAAACATTTCTGTACAATGTCACTGAAGTTTTTTCATTCTGAAGGCTGACAGAAAATAGTTCTCAAGGATTCTGAAAAATGAGATGGGGATGCAGAAAAACGGTCAAAAACTGGAGCGCCAAAAATTGGAGCAGATAAATATTTTAACGTTTTAGTATCATCTTATTGAGAATAACGATTTAGAACTATCACAGAAGTGACCGGGAGAGTTTCTTTGCAATTTACAAATTATAAATGCATAATATAAATAAACATATTAGTGTGTCCATAACATAAATTAAATATTTACAAAATAAATTAATATGATTTTAAAATAATACTTCCTGTCATATTAATTGGAGGATGTTTCCACTTTTAAATATATAATTATGATTAAGATTTCATGTTTCAAAACATTTAACAAAACATAATTTGTATTTTGAATAAAAATATGTAAAATTCTTGTAATCGATATGTACGAATTTGTTCGAAAATCGTGCAGTAATTGAAGGATTCTGCCGAATATCGTTACATGTTACATGCATACTATGTTACATTTCTGCGAAATTGTTCT